CTTTTCCTGTGACAGTCATTATCATGATTTAACAAATGCGTAAACATTCTTAGTTAAACAACAAATGAATCACGAACAGATGAGAACTGAGGGGTTCTCTTCCACGGTTAGAATGACCTGTCATGGCCTAAATAGAGTTCAGTTTGTGACWGAGTTCCTGTCCTCTCGTCAGGCCTGTCCGAGGCCTGCTTCGAGGCAGWAAATCTTGTTTCTTCACTCGAGGTGACCCCTACACTGGCAAAGTGACACGAGCAGCCGACAAAAGCACCCTATGCTGCAACCCCTGAATTGAGATACAGCCCGTACCTCCATGTGAGGTAGTGACACCAACTCTTAAAAAGGTGGGCCTTCACAGTGCTGACTGATGCGCTTGGGGAACACCCAGCTACAAGATTTTTAAGTTAAAACATCAGATTTAGAATTGTTTTATTGTTTTTTTCCCCCAAGCCCTGTAAGCTGCTTGCTCTATATACAAAACTTTATCGGCACAGAGACTGGCTAAAAGTATGCAGCAGCACAGATACAACAATAAAAAGAACTTGATTATTTTGAAACTTAAAATCCTAAAAAGTTTGATCACTTGTGTTGTTCTCATCAGCAGCTTGAGTGACAGCAACACATCACAGCAATCAACCTTTTTCCACACCTTTTAATACCGTACTGTACTCTGAAAGCAAGTAAGAGAGCTTCTCCATTATTCAGCCCTGAACTGCCAGAGAGAGCCTCAACACAGAATGGACTCTTCACCTATTTAGTGGTATCGTTTTCTTAAAGAGCCTTACRTTTGGAGAAGACAGTACTGAACACTGTTCACATGAAAACATGACAAAATATTTGAGCTCTGAACTATTTTCAAATGACGGAAATCCACTGAAGTAGTAGCCCTGCTCAGACTAACAATTAGCTCAACTCTTTAATAAGAGTTTCTCTGTGATTCTTCMAAACAAGATATTTGAGACGCCCGTCTAATTCAGGYAAGACACTGACTGTTGATAACTCAACAGAACCCAATTAAAACCCCCTAAACTAAGCCCTAAAGTGCTCAGTTACTCCGCTGTGCTTTTYCTCTTCAGATTATTCTAAGAATATTGCTACTTTGGACAGAAATGGTAAAGTAGGGCATCATGTCTGTCCCCTACTTCCCCCTGCCCTTGATTTTGACACAAATACATTGTACAAACATGCTCACCTACATACAGGCACTACTAATGTCCGTTCCCCCTCATATGGTCGCTGCCACACAGTATGTATCTGGGTTACTTACGGTTGCACTAGCAGCCAGCTTTCTTCAGTTGTGGGTTTGCTTTTTAATCATTTCCAACAAATTTGTTTTTTTAGTAAAAAAAAAAAAAAGAAAAAAAAGGTGTTTCGAAATGGTTTTCAAACTGAAATACCACTTGTTTGTTTGTAGGCTCTGTGAAGACTGAAGGTCAACATTTTTTTTGCGTTTTAAGATAAATGAAAGTAGGACAAGAAAACAGCCTACACTTTGATGGTTAAATTGTAAAATAATATGCAACTGTAAAACAACATGCATACACACACAGTTTTAAGATGTAAAGACAACACTGAACTGGTTAAAAACAAATAAATCAAAAGACGCCATTCCAGCAAAGTACAATAATAGCCACATTTATTTGTAATTACAAGCAAGTTCCCTTTACACTATATTTTTTTTCATGACTTCAGGTTTTATCCTTTACGTCATACATAAATGTACATTTCCAGAGTGCATACATTTAAGTTAATGTGGAGGGGTTTTGTTAAATAAAGTAGTTCAAGGCATAAAAAAGAAAGAAAAAAGTCTCTCTTTTCGTATGAGACTCATCAAATACTGCTCTTCACAAGCATTACTCAGTAGTGGTACTGTACTAAAAAGTGCACACACGGTCTATGCAATACCAGACAGCTTCACATAATATAAACAGTGTTGCTTTTCTCACATTCAACATCAAACATGACAAACCCATTCAAAAGGCACAGGACTCTCACATCGACATGGTTTCTTTAAGTTCGTACTTACATGTGAGGCAATCCTTCACTTTAACTTTGTTTATTTTTAGGACAATCTGCYAAAAAAATGATCTGATATCACATGAGACACTCAGGACGCTGAATGGCACTGGGAAAAAGGGAAGTCAGAAATACTTCCCTATCATTACCGAGTGGTCACAGTTCATGTTTTAAACAGTTGAGGAAGTTCAGTTGTAGAATGAGCGTTGAGTCTGGTAAAATAATAACCCAACAAAAAGTGGGTGATTATAAAAAGGACAATGAGTGAGAGGCATAAAGTCACGAGACRAAGAAAGTCCACTTTCTTTCAATAACAGGGCTGAACGTGTCAAAACATAGTAACTAAAATGTTAGTTCTAGTCCAATCCAAATTTAACTCTAGTTAAGAAAACCACACAACAGATTCCACTGTGTCACTGCTTGAATACAAATGAAGGTAAAACAGAAAGCTCATGAAAGTTCACACTCGGCTGCTTTAGGATTTAAGATGTATTTCAGGTGCTGCTGATCAAATGCACTTCATTAACTRAGCAGGAGTTTTGTCAGTTTGCTGCTCTGGAGCATGCAGGTGGAAAGACATCAGCAACAAGCTTAGAGAAGTAGATGTTCACCACCAGTCTGGGAAGGGGTTTAAGGTCATTTCCAAACAACCTAGAGTCCATYGTTCTACAATAATCTAAAGATTGTACACAAGTAGTAGTGGATGTTTAAGCAACTACACTCCAAAGGTCAGACTGTGCAATGCTCAGAGAAATTGCCAAAAAAAAACAAAAAACAAAAAAACACATAAGTGCTCCAGTCCTGCGTAAAACACAGCTGCATGCCAAAAAATGCGTTACTTTGATCGCAGAGCCCCTTCTCGACACAAGGCTCAGGCCAAACTTTTTCTCACAGATGAATGCGCCAAGTATCRTGAGATTTTGTCTTAAGTTTGTGGGCATGTTTGTTTATGCGGAAAAGCACTCAGACAGCAATGGTGGCAGTTTGCTTCAATCACTCTGCTTCCACAAGTCARCCGCTGTACGCCGAAACAACATGGATAGTGTTGAGGAGCAGTTGTTTGAGGCAGTCAGGARGTACATCCTTCTATAGACTCTTTTAGACACTTCTAAAGATTGTCAAATGGSCAAAGACTCGTGGATGGAAAGAGCACAGAAGCTGTGCACAGAGGAATCCGTACGCTCTATCCCTGACAAATTTGAGGCCAAACTGTACATCTCGCAACAACGTGACTGAAAGTTGACTKTTCAACTTTGGATCGAGTATGCTGCACTCTCCAGTCTTTATCACTCTTAGTAAGTAAGGTTAAAGTTTAAGACAAGACAATCAAAAAAAAAGACTGAAGAAGTACCGCTTGATTTGGAAGGGTTGCAGGGGAGCTTTTCCTCAAAAGAACATTACAACATGGCTTGGTGGACACGATGCAATCTGTGTGTTTTTGAACAATTTTAGAACCTGGTTAAGATCAAATAATCTTTGTTAGGTTTGATACAAAAAAAGYCTAGAATTGAAAAASGGTGGACTCTATTTCCTTATGACTRTWTTGTCTGAGGGATCCGCTCAGTGTATTCAGTAACATGTTAAAGGAAGGCCACTTCTATGAACTAAAACAGGATCCTGTAGTGTTTAAACATCCTGTTTTGACYGGGGACAAAAAGGTAAAGAATACAACAAGTAATCTGTTCGCTTGAAACAGCAGTGTGTTGTCATGTTGTCAGTTATTTCACAGTGATGTAGAAAACCTCAAAGAGCCAATCATTTAGCAAGTTCAATCAAAGTTTTCCAGAGAAAATAGATTTACATTAATAAACATCTCTGCCACAGGGCTATTGTAACAWTTACAGTTGTTTAAATTCATGCAGACACAGTACAAAACAGAAAAAACTTCCCTTTTCCTCCTTTTGAGACAGAGTTGCCAACAGATAATACAAACTTAAAAAAATAAAACTGGCCAAAACACACACACATTTTCTCTCACACACAAACATGCGTACACAAAAGCGGTAAAAAGACTGCTTCACAATATTGTCCCAAATTTCACATTAAACAAATATTCGTTAAAATGATGGGTTTAAAAAAAATCATAGCAGCTTAGCTCTGTAAAAATAAAGAGTGAGAAAAGCCGCCGGTGCTTTCCGGTTAAAGAGTTACACATTTGTATAGTGAGCTTTCAGTGCAAACATGTAAAAGTGAAGTTAAATCTGATAATGACAGAAGATTTAAAGGCTAAATCTGGGGRGGTGCCTTTACTGTGCCAGATGACTCCACTGAAAACCCACTTGTAAGACAGTTAAAACCTTGGCACACCACATTTTTCGAACCGTCRAATTAAAAACAACAAAAAGAAAACTACTTTCTCTGTGCAATAGTTCAAGTAAGTTATTTCCTGCAAACAATTAGGTGTTCTACAACGCGCCCTGTGGCTGTACTGAAAGAGACGACAACGTACACGTAACATACAAATACACAAAAAGTGCTATTTACAGAAAACAGTTCTCAGGACAGGACTGCACTCTACACCGAGAGGACCTCTACTCACCAGCTCAGGCTCAGATTTGATCTAATCCTTCCACTGCTTACAATTTGGTCCAAAGATGGAGCAGTCTCGTCCATGATCTGTGGTTCGGGACCACGTCGACCAAACAGTGTCCCAGAGTGAAGCACGGGTTAAATCCCTAAAGGGCTGTGTCGAATACTTGCTCYGAAGAGGCCTCCTCCATGTCGTCCTCAGACTGCAACGCCGTGTTGTTYAGCTTCTCTGCTGTCGACGAGGCAACAAGATTTCCATGGATGTCGTCTTCGCTGRGCTTGGCCTTGCCACTCTCCTGAACAAACTCCTGGATCTCCACGGGTAGCCGCCGGAACTTGTCTTGGTACTCTTGGTCCAGATCACTCTGCAGCTGCATAAACAGAAAGAAAAAAAAGGGGTAAAAATCATTCTTAAACAAGTAGAAGTACACAAACAGAGGACTAAATCTACATCTCTGAATCTGAATTCTAGTTCTTTTATCATAATTAGTTTTTTTAATGGGGTTTAAAGGCACAGTGTGTAGGATTTTGTCAATTCTTTTAGCCAAAATTGAGATAATCACTAATGACAATAATAAAAAC